CTCTCTCTCTCTCTCTCTCTCTCTGTATATTTGTGTGTTGGGGGAGGGGCATCTCAACGTCTTTGTAGATCAGCGACAGCCGATTAACGAAAACATTCTACTTCCTCCCGCCCTGCTTTCTTGCTACCTGCCTGCCCTCCTCCTCCTGTTCAGGACATTGGTCCACATCGAGTCAAACAGAAGCGCAAATCAGAGCTAATCCTGGCCTTTAAGTCAACAGTCGGGCAGGACACTCCCGGCAGTGCCAGGGTTAATGCTGTGACCTCCTTAAAGCTGCTGAGGAGTCAGGGCTAATTTTACTCTCGCCTATCAGCTCTGCCAATCCTCATTTTTTACCCGAGTGCTGAGATATGTTGGGAAGCACCAAGTCAGCACTTCTGGTGGCCCGGGAGGCAGTGTGGGCCCTGCTCTTTGCAGAATACATAAAACCAGTGACGACTGCTTGCTGCTTGGCTCTGGAGCTGGGCCCTGAGAGTTCTAGGGCGTGCGCAGGGTGGCGGGGGGGGGGGGGGGCGCGATAACCCAGTAGGTGCTGGGCATAGGGGGAGGGGGCTGTGACGCTTCCTGGCTCCCCGCTGTCTCCCACCCCGATGCATCTTGTACTGAGCTGCCCCGAGCTGAGCACAATGAAGGACCTCGGGGCAGCTCAGTACAGGACCCCTCAGGGAGGGTAAGGTCAGAGCTGGCTGCCAAAGCTCTCTCGCGCGCGATGCAGCCTGCCGCCGCCGGAGAGCTTCACTGCATACCCTGGCCCACCCCTCCTCGGCCCACCGCCCTGGCACACACCCCTCACACACTAGTGGAGCCCTTAGCAGTGAAGACCCACCCTCCTGACTAAGGCAGGGCTTAGGGTCTAGGCCTGGCATATTTTCTGGCCACACATAGTGAGACACCACAGGTCTGACGCTGTCCCTGTGTGTTCTGCAGCGTCCTGGCCACCAACTTTAGAGCCCACTGCTTGGTTTCTAAGAGGAATGCCAAGATTCACAGAGCATTTTTTTTTCCCACACTTCAAAGCACTATTTTAAAACTATACAGGGACAGCTAGGCGTGGTGGCACGTGCCTTTAATTCCAGCTCAGAGGCAATTGGATCTCTGTGAGTTAGGGGCCAGCCTGGGCTACATAGCAAGTTCCAGGGCTATAGAGAGAGACCCTGTTGTATAACTGTATAGGGGTTGAGGGTGTGGCTCAGGGGCAGAATCCGTACCTAGAATCCATGAGGCTCTGGGCTCCATCCCTAACACAGCCAAAAAAAGACAAAAGAAAATATAAACAAGCAAAATAAAACCAAGGCCCTGGATTTGCGTACTCTGCAGCAGATCTGTGTCAAAGGAAATGTATCTGCTTGAAGAGAAATGGGGGGGGTGTTAAGGCAGAGACAGAGACTAAGTTTGGGGAGTGGGGAGCCTGAGAGTCGGGTTGTGGCTCTGAACTGTGCTGGTGCAGGGAATGGGCCGGGGAGAAGCAAGCAGCTACTTCATCAAGGACCATGCCGGGAAGGACAAGAAAGCCGCCGTTACCTCCCAAGGGGCTATTGGAGGAGAGATCACTGCTTGCCCCTTTTCAGGCTGGCCCGCTTCACTATTTGAGCCCCTTTCCTGCCCTCTAGCAGGTCCGGCTGCAGTCCACTCCCTCTTAGCTCCACCTGGAGACAGACAGCACCAGAGACAGAAAGTAGGAATCACATAGGCAGACGGGAAAAAAAGAGGCGGAAGATGAAAAGGGACGCGAGAAGGAGGAGGCGGGAACACTGTCCCGGAAAGGTCACCAAAGGCCAGCATGTGCAGACCGGAGCAGAGGAGAGGAGAGGCGAATTGCCGCGGCCTCCAGGGGCCTGCAGCGCCTCGGTACCTTAGCAAGTCTCATAAAGGACTCAATATCATCTTCCAGCTCCCCAGGCTCCGCCAGGGGCCCCTCAACAATCACCTCCTCGTGCTGCGGGGTGTCGATGGCACCGGAGGAATCTACCTGCCGGACGACTTTGCGAATGATCTGGAAAAGAGAGGAAGAGAAAGAGGGCTGGGCAAACCATCAGGAAAGTCTGAGAAGAACAAGGCCCCAGCGGTGACGTCAGGAGGAGAAGCAATGGCCTCTTGTCTCTCGTCCATCAGGGGCCAAGAAGAAGCCTTTCTCTGCGGTCCTTTATGGGGAATGTCAGGGGAGCTTGAATTTGGCGAGTACTGTGGGCAGGTTTCATCCACCGTTGGCTTGGCCATGAGCTGTGCTACTTCAGCATCCCATTCTGCTTCTCAGAATAGAAGTTTGTGCTGACTATCATCTCTCTCCAGTGCCTAAGGACAGAGGCGACCTTTTCATCTCTGTGTCTGCTCCACTCACCTGCTCCGTATCCAGTTATCCAGGATGGGAGATGAACGTACATCATGGCTCAGGCCCTTAGGAAGGGGCAAGGACAGATGGGGCCGTGGCCCTCTATGTGAACGGCAGCCCTCGTGAAACACACACGCACCCTCTCCTGCCTCCTTCCTTTGCTTTATGGGGCAATGCATGCCAGGCAACGCGAACCTACCATGCTGATGGATGTATGCCGTCAGTGTGATGAGTTCCTACACCCTTTTTGCTAAGGGAGGTCTTGGGAACAGTTTCCTATTCTCTAATAGCTCATCTCAGGGCCACCCTTCACAGGACGAGAGCTGTATGTTTTGTGGGAACTGATCTTTCTGGAATAGGGCAGCTGGAACTGTTCATGCTGAGTTAAGCGTTGAGGTTATAAGGCCCTCAGTGTCCCGACTGTAGAGAACCCACAGGTCTCAGCTCTCCCGAGTTACCCCGAATCACTGGGGTGGTGGCCACAGCCTGCCCTTCCTCCCCCGTTAGGGTAGCAGCAAGAAGCAGGTGTGTATTGAGTTCCTCTGCCTTTCAGCTTTGAATCCCACCAGCTTCTCCCCAACTTAGAGACGCTGCACTCACCTTCTTGGTGACAATGTTGCCCTGTTCGTCTGTGAATTGTTCCTCCGTCACCTGCTCCCCTGGAATATTCTGAAGCTCATCTCCCTGGAATGAGAAGACGAGAGAGACCCAGATGAGTGAGTGGGATTTTTCCATTAAGAGCGGAAGATGAAGAAATAAAAGAACCGTGGTAGCAACAGCCGGGTCCAGTGACGCCCGAAGCTCAGTCAACAGTCCCAGACAAGACAAACAAGGGCTCCCACAGTGTCACAGCACCCTGTGGGACCGTGAGCCCTGAGACAGACTGGGGCCAGAGCTCCCGAGACCTTCTTCGTGTGCTTGACCATTGTAATGGCAACAGTACAGGGTGATTATGCAAGTTCCCGAAGGCCCCCAGAGAAGTAGGGGAGAGAATGCCACAGACAGTCCCTGCCCTGGCAGTGGCTTGAGTCCCAAAGTTGGCTATACCAATGGAGTGAGACCAGGCATCCCGAGCCCCAGAGCTGAGCGTCTCTGCACTGGGGTGGTTCTGAGCAGGTACCATATGCAGCTATGGTTCCCAGCACAGAATGCAAAGAGGTCTTCCTGGTCTCCGTTGCACGTCCTATCTCCTGGCTTGAGCTGGTATTCTCTCAGCTTCACCCTCGGCATGCACCAGAGAATCCCCTCAGACGGTCCTCCGCCACCCTCGGTCCAGCCCCCTAAGGGCCTACCATTTGCCGGGGGTTACCTTCAGGAAGACCCGTCGGCGGACCACTCTGGTGGAGATGGTTTCCTCGTCGTCACTCAGGCCCTCGCTCTCCCCCAGCTCCTTGTCCAGCTCCTTGTGAATGTGCTTCAGCACGAAACACAGGGAGCCCTTGACAATGTGCATCACATTCTGACAGCTGACTAGGAAGAAGCCCAGCAATACCAGAGTGACCAGGAGCTGGGTGATGAAGGTCCACATCCTTCTCTCCTCTCTCTCCTCACCAGCCTGGCCCTCCGGGGACCAGGGACACCAGGGGCCCAGCTGCTGTGGAGATCCAATTTCTCATTCTCCTCTTGGACTCCTGAGGCCCCCAGTAACCCCTTCTGTTCTGTCTCTGCCTCTTTTTGCTCTTTATCCCTTATTCTAAACAGGAGACCAAATAATCTCTCCCGAGTGACTCTCTTAGCTGGGACAACATGACCCAAGTGTCCTTCCTGCCAAACAGCCTGGGATCTCTCCTCACACCCCAGAGGACGTCAGCCTTCTATAATTTTAGCTCGCAAGCCAGCTGCTGCTGTCCAGCCGGGATGACGCGGGGAAGCAGGTGTTGTGGCTTGGACTCAGAAGCGCATGTCAGAGTCGCCATAGAGAGGGAAACCAGGCTTGCTCATGAGAGCCAGAACACAACTTTCTCATTGGGGACTCCATAAAACATGGCATCCCAAGAATGCGGCTACTTCTGCATCTCCATGGGCAGCTGTTGCAGTGATGGGAATGATGTTAATGGGGTCTGGACCAGCTAATACCCAGGAAAGTTAAGCATTCATTTAAAAACACCCCTAAAGGCGAGCACTTTGTTCAGACTCTGTCCAGTGAAAAGGTCCTGGGCCACTGGGAAGCCGGTCTGTCATTCCTATGAGTCCTGAAGGCCTTCATCATGGAATTAGTGCTTATTTAGGGCCCATCTCTCTCTCTCTCTCTCTCTCTCTCTTTTTTTTTTTCTTTTTTTGGAGCTGAGGATCAAACCCAGGGCCTTGCTCTTGCTAGGCAAGCACTCTACCACTGAGCTAAATCCCCAACCCTAGGGCCCATCTCAAAGGCTCTTCTCAGGCCGGAGTGGAGATGCCACAGGGGAGGAACCACTCCCAGCACACTTGTGCTCGGGGAATTGACCCACACACTCAGTCACGGCAGCAGCTGAGGATCTCGCCTTCTGGATCAGGCCGTTCTCCTCGGAGTACTAGCCCAGCCCAGCAGAAGGAACACAGCCCTGGGGCTGAGCAAACGAATGCTCCGGATCGCCCCTGTGGGGGCTTGGGAGAGTCAGTCACCTTTTCCCGGGCCTCTGTGTCTTCACTTATGGAACAGGGATTACTGTGTTTTCCTGGCTGCTCTCCAGAATGCTGTATGGCTCCTACTGTGCTTGATACACACAGCCACCGGGAGTAACCGGGGCACACACTACCGCAGTGTGCCCTGCCCTGGAGGCACCGGCCTGTTTCACAGGTTAACACAACCACTGTCCTATCAAGTTAGGATCTTTAGTTTTCCCGTTTTACCTGGAGGACACCGGTATAGGAGGTGACCGTAGTGTGTCTAAGTGGAAAGGTTACGTAAATGAAAGAGATTTCCCACGTCCATCACCCCAAACGGCTTCATTTCGGCGGGAAAAATGCTTGGAAATTTAAGATCCCTATTCAACAAAAATTGCAGGTCGAAGGAGAACATTTCATGATAGCTGAGCTAGGAAGAATCCAGGGGCTGTCAGCATAATGGTGGAATGTAACAGCACACGCGCGCGCACACACACACACACACACACACACACACACACACACACACACACACACAGTTCAGCTTTGGATATCTCCTACTTCCATCCCGTGCCTAGAAGAATGAGTTAGGTTATAGTCCTTTTGGGTTCATACTACAAATCCCAGATGACAAAGAGGTTTAATGAAAATACTAGCAAATAAGAGCTTTGAAAACTATTTCCTTCAGTGGGCTCATCATCATCCCAGGGGCCCATCAGCTATCTATGGAAATGACCAGTCTGAAAACATCCAGTAGTTCCCACAGCATGGAGGCAACGACATCTCCGTTCCTAAGCTGGGCATGTGGCCCTCTGCCCTCACTCTGGCCGCAAGAATGTGGGACTAGGGACCAAGAGATCTGGACACTCACAGTTCATTGTGTGACCCTGAAGAAAGCCGTTGGCTGCTTGCCTGTGCTTTCCTCCTTATAACGCAGGAGTCAGACACAGTCTATATCTAGAAGCAGCGTCTCTATGATGCTCTCTGCTCCTCAGCATCTCTCCTCCACGGGGGCAGAGGGGGCAGCGTGAAAGACTACACCTGGCCTTCCCCCTGGGGATTCAGAGCAGTCCCAGGGACCATCCCTCGTATTTGGGCAGGGCTGTCTGTCATTCTTGGGAGAAGCAGAAGCAGGTGGCGAGGGACAGCCAGGAAGGAAGGAATGTGCTGGGGGGCAGGGTCTGTGGTTTAAAACCGACTGGCTGCCTGACCTGTGCCAGGGCACGTACTTGGCAGAAAGACTTTCTAAATCAAACTCTCTACGATTCCCAGCAGTGGGTTAGAGCAGGGCAGCATCTCAGAAACACGGAAGAACCAAACTGTCTTTGGAGTTCCCAAGGGTGCTCTGGCAGGGAGAAGAAAAGACAGAAAGAAAAGGCGGGAATAAAGGAAGATGCAGTGGGGGAAACGTGATGCTGGGTGAGGGAGGGTACTGTACTGGGTAAAAAGAGCCCACAGGTCACGTGCGCGTTATAAATACCCATTCCAGAATGGCAATGCACACTCAGCAAGAACACATAAGTCAAAAGACCTATGTCCAAAAGATGCCTGGCATTTGTTCCAAATAATAAGTGGGGAGAGAGGACGAGGCTGCTGGTGTAGAGGAAACAAGACCGGTCGTGACTGGGGAGCTGCGGGACCTGAGAGTGCAGAGCGGAGAGAAGAAAAAAAAAAAAAAAAAAAAAGCAAAGAGAGGATGGGACAGGGAGGGGGCCAAGGGAGGGAGAGGAGGAGACGGAATGGCTGGAGGGAGAAGTCCCAGAATGACAGGAGTCGGAGGGAAGGGAGTTATTGCTACCCTGCCACCTCCGAACCCAGGTGCCACCTAGAGTCCCAGAAGTCCAGGGCCAGGTGAATGCTGGTGGTATTCCCTTCACCCTTTCTATCATCAGCGGGGACGCTGAGGTCCTGAAAAGCCAGCAGCTGGAGCACGGTCCACAGACCCGAGGGAGCGGTTCCCACATGACTGCCGGAGTCCTTAACACACCATTGTCTCAGCCCCAGGCTCTTTCTAGAGTGTGATGGACACAGCCAGGAGTTGTGGTACACAAATCTGCAGTCTCAACACTTGGGGGGCGGGGGGGGGGGGGGGGGGGGGCACCCCAGGCCACACAGTGCTTCCAAACCAAAACATGAACACAAGACCAAACAAAGCAAACACACCAAAGCCCTGGCTGGGCATCACCCAGAGTTTGCTCAAATCCCACAGGATGAGCAAGGCCTGGGGCAAGCCGCCCAGCCACGTGCACAGCAGGGGTGGGGTGAGTGTGAGTGTGGGATGCCATTCGGCCGTGGGATGGATGATGATGATGACTGGTGCAGGGCCCTTTCCTTCCAAAGCAGAAGTCAAGAGGATGAAAGGATAGAAAGTGACGTCACCACCAGGAAACATGCCTGGCTTAGGGCCTGAGCTAGAAAGAACAGGAGGGAGAGTGAGGTGGTGGTCCAGCAGGTAAAGGTGTGCGCTGTACCAGCCTGGTGACTGGTTCAATCACCAGTGCTCATGTAAAGAGGGAAGGAGAGGACTGACTCTAAAAAGTTGTCTTCTGACCTCTAGAGATGTGATGTGGCGCACGTGCCTTCCCCTACATCATGTGTACACACACACACACACACACACACACACACACACACACACACCCTAAATAAAAAGTAAACAAAGAAAAGAACAAGGACAATGTGCTCTCACCGGTACTTCTTGAGAGAAGGCGCTCTCGGATGCCCACAGGCTTGGTTCCTTGCCAGCCTGGGGGCTGTCAGTCTCAGGTGGGCCCCTCTGCACCAGCTCCCTTGCAGACACCAGCACCTGCTCATATTCCTGAAGCGTGCTGGGCTCCGGCCCTTGGATGGTGGTGATCTTCCTCTGGAGTGAGTGCGGGCCTTGTGTGACCTCCTCTTGCCAGGAACTATGGGCAGCTTCTTGAAGATCGGGCACCATGGAGCCCTGTTTATCCCAGTCCAGTGTTCTAGGGTCCAGGATAGGTGATAGGTAGCCAGGGAGAGGGAGGACAACTGTTCACTTTCAGTCTCAGCTCTTAGACGCCTCCCCCATTCCCCTGGACACCGGCTCATCTAGGATACAGCCGGAAGTGTCCTCTACCCCCTCATGCATGCTCCTGAACATCACAGTTCACAGTGCTCTGAGGGGCGCTGTCCTCTAGCATACATGTGGCTCACCCTTTCATTCTCTGAAGTCTTCTAGACTGTCACCCACTCAGGCCTTCTCTGTCACCTTATCTGTAATTCCAACCACCTTCCTTTCCCCACTTGGTGCTCCGCCTTCCTGCTTCGATTTTCCAGTTAGTACTTGTAATTATCCAGGAAGATTTCAATTTGTCGTTTATTTTTGCTTTTTTTATTTAAAGTTCCTCTTTCCCTCATTTTCATGCATATGTGTCATGCATGTGTGCCTATGCATGTCTGCCTGTGTGTGAGCTCCCTGTGTGTACAGGTGCTCACATCTGCTTATGTGTGTGTGTGGGCACGTGTGGGTTAGAGGCCTGAGCCTGATGCTGGGAGCCGTCCTTCCTGGATGTTCCACCATATTCACTGAGGCAGGTTCTCTCAGTCAAACCCAGAGTTTACTGCTGCGGCCAGGTGAGCTAGCCAGCTTGCTGTGGGATCCCCATGTCTCCATCTTCGGAGGCTAGAATTACACCCAACATTTATGTGGGTTCCGGGGGAGTCAAGCTCTGGTCCTCATGTTTGGGCGGCTAGTTCTTAAACATCGAGCCGTCTCCCTAGCTACCAAAATTTCAATTTTAGTTACAGTTATCCCTTAATATCCGAGAGAAACTGGTCCTATGACCCCCCAGGATACGGAAACACATGGATGCTCAAGTTTCTTATGTGAAATGGTATGGGATTACACGGAACCCACACACACCCTCGTTCATACTTTAGGTCGCCCAGAGACTAATTCCCAGTAGGACGGAAATGGTGTGTAAATGGTTGCTGTACTGCACTGTGTAGGGAACAGCAAGAAATATGTGCACATGTTCAGTGCAGCTGCCATTTACTTGCTCTATAGGTAGTACAAGCCATGGGTTTGGAAACCATGATTATGAAGCCCGGAGACTCCAAAGGCCAACTATAACTCTGGTTTTGTTTACATTATCTTGTTCCCTGTCAGTTTCCCCTCTGGAACATTCCTACAGGCAGACATTTCTCTGATTTCTTCACTACTTTCTTTTTTGAGACAGGGTTTCTCTGTGCAGCCCTGGAACTTTGTAGCCCAGGCTGGCCTCGAACTCACAGAGATCCGCCTGCCTCTGCCTCCCAAGTGCTGGGATTAAAGGTATATGCCCCCACCGCCCGGCCTTCTTCACTGCCTTCTTATAGGAGCCTGGCACATGGTAAATGCTCAGTAAATATGGGTAAGTGAGTGAGTGAATGAAAGGTACCCATCCACATTGGATGGTCACACAGCCAGGAAATGATGCAACCGGGTCAGAGCCCACCGTCAGCGAGTGCCCTGCTCTAACAGCAGTGGCCAGCAGACAGGAAGTGCTGACTGAGTGAGTGGCCTCGCAGGTACTGTGCACAGGCATCTCACCGTGACCCTCACAAGCTCGGTCCAGCCATGCCTTCCCACGAATCAAAGGACTTCTTTAGGAAGTGAAATGAATGAGTTGCCCTCTCCTCTTGCCAACACTTTTCCTCCCACAGTGTGACGGTCTGTACTGAGGACCCCAGGGGTGGCTGGTGGCAGCTTCAAGACAGTGGGAAGAGGAGGAGGAGGACACGATTGCTCTCTGGCCTGGCCAAATCTGAGCTCCTTGGGAGGGTACTGCCCGCTAGACCCACACGAGCCACTTTTGGGAGGACGTATAAAGCAAAGTGACATGAACAGAGAAAAGGCCTCTACACCAGTGCAGGGAGGGACACTCAACATGTCTGCATTTCCTCTGCCAGCTCGGAGCCTTTGTCTTAGTATAGTGCTGGCATTGGTGTCTCAGATACATGGGAGTACTCTGTGGCATCAGGAACCCAAAAGCACTGAGCCCCAGCACCATGGTGTGGCCACACGTCCATCAATGCATCTCCTAGGCACACATGTCCCGAATCCTCTCTGCTCTTCTCCTGCTGGGCACAACTGGCGGGAAACTGACCTTTGCGGGTCACAGCCCTTTTCTGATGGCTGGTGGCTTCGGGGGCATTCATATGTATCTGCCACAGGGCATTTAGAATGCAGGCGAGCAGCAGTACCCAAGCCTTCTGCCTGTGCCCAGCACCAGGAATAGTCAGACCCAAAGCCCAGGAAGACAGAAGGGGCCCGTAGACCAGCCCTTACCTGGCCTGGCTCGTGTCCAGCACCTGCCTCACTGTGGGTGAGTCTGTGATTCGGGCGTGAACTCGCTGCTGGCCTGAAACAAGAGACACCTCAGCCTCCGTGTCCTGCTCTGTGCCTGAGACCTCCTGCCTCTTCTTTTCTGACCTCTGACCTTCCTCCTGACCTAGCAAATCAGCCAGGCCATTTGTAGCATCTGAATCCACTGTGTCGTCCTCCACCAGGTCCTGAGAGCCCAGCTCCGGGCCCTGCGGTTCCTCTGAGAGTGCCCCCTCCAACTTCCACTCTTGCGTGGCGTCAGAGTCCTCGGCCTTGCTGCACTCCAGAGAGGAGTCCTCAGCAGTGACCAGGGAGGGGGTGAGGCCCGCAGACCACACCTGCATGTCAGACATCTCCAGCATGGTGTCATGCTCCGTGGCCGCCAGGGGGATGGCGTCTATGACAGCCACTTCGTTCCAGTACTGGTCTGCACACAGTGGAGAGGGGAGCGCGTAGTGCAGGGAGGCAGGGGACAGCAGCTCGTCCTGCAGCGAGGAGTAACCTGGAAGGGCAGACAGAGGGCAACATGCTCCAGAAGCGATTTTTGGTCACACACGCTCACGTGCAGGACCACACACACTTACACACACAGGCACGGCCACAGAGAGGCATGCACATTCAGGGCAGGGACTTTCCAAGCTCCGAGTCCAAAGCTCAGGCCTTGTGGCTAATGCCGGGGCCACCCTGGCAAGAGAAACAAGGCTCTGAGCTGGATGGGGGGGGGGGGGCGGGCAGCCAAGGGGTGAGGGTAGAGAAGGGGGCTCCTTTGCTGGAGGGCAAAGAAACATGATTGAGATTCGTTCTTATCCAGCTCTGAGCACTAGATAAAGAAGGCTTTATCCAAAGGACTTGTGCTCCGATCTGTCCTGATCGATCAGATGAAAGCCCCAGTCTCCGCGGCTGGCGGAGGAAAGGATGATCTTTCTTTGCTCAGTCTTTCGAGTCCTGTTAGGAATGTACCTTGGGCGGGGAGAGTGCAGCCCACCCAGGATCAGGGTCAGTAACAAGGCTGCCCTGGAGGGGTCTGACAGGGTACACTGAACATCCACAGACCTCAGTGCGGTGGTCAAGTGGGAAACAGGCTTCTGGATTGGCATGAAGTGACTTTTCCTCAAGGTGCATATTGGTTCCACAAACTCTGAATGATCTACAGTGGCACAGGTGAGAGTTCTAAGGGGTTAAAAATGGCGCAAGGTCAGAGGGCACCATGGGTCCAGCACACCTGCCCGCCGCCGGTGCTTCATCCACAGGCCCTGAGCCTATCTATCCACCCAGCTCTGGTTCCGCAGGGACCCAGCACAGCCTGGAATCTGCAGCCTGCTCCCATACCTGCTCCTTGTTTTGGAAATAAGCTCTAGACAGTGTCTGGCTGGCTTGGACCTCAGCTCCCTGGTGTTGAGATGTGACTGTGAATGGACTGAGAAGCACGCCTACATGCAGGGGGATGTATTTGTGTGTTGGGTGGCGATCGGTGTTCTGTCAGAGGTGCGTCAGCCCTCGCACCTCCAGGAGTCACAGAGAGGTCCCTTTTGTTCCCAGGAGAGCAGGTGCCGGTCTACAGACAAGCTTTTCTATCTGGTGTGTCTGAGGAGCCAGGGAACTGGCATGTGCCTACAGGGAAAGATCCAGGGGAAACAAAGGGTGTGTGTGTGTGTGTGTGTGTGTGTGTGTGTGTGTGTGTGTGTGTAAACAGGGAGGGGCTATGTTGTTTCTAGGGACCTTCCATTATCTAGTTCTCCAAGCTTTATGCCCAAACCCTTCAATCAGCCAGCCCCTTCCCAGTCCCCACAATCCCTAAACCAGGCCTTTACGTTCATACTCAGATCTTCATTCTTACTCTTTTCAGCCTAGCTTGCCTCCTTGCTCTCAGCTCTGGGCACCGGCTGGCTCTCCCATGGCCTCTGCATCTAACAGCACTGTCTACACTCATCCTCCTTCCTCCACATACTCAGCCAAAACACATCCGCCAATGTCCGATTCCATGCCAGGCACTGTACTAAAGGACACACACACACACACACACACACACACACACACGCACGCACGCACGCACGCACGCACGCACGCACGCACGCACGCACGCACGCAGATTCAATTCAGGTTCTCTTTTTCAACACTGCTTGTAGCGTGGGTCTCCTGGTAAATGCTTTCAGCTTGTACACATCTGGAAGAATTTTTATTTTTGCTTTAATTGAGTTGCTATTTTTTTTTTTTTGAGACAGGGTCTCATCACGTACATGGCTGACTTGAAATTTGCTATCTAAATCAAGCTGTGCAGAGACTTGCGCCTCCCTTTCTGCCTCTTCCTCCTGAATGCTAAGATTGCAGGCATGCTCGTTTCCATGGGATGCTCTTTACTATATAGCCCCAGGTTGGCTTCCAACTTGCTATGCAGCTCATGTTGGCTTTGAACTTTCCTCTTCCTCCTCTTCTTCTAAGATAGAGACTCAACCACGTAGCCCTGGCTGGCCTGGCACTCGCTACATAGATAGACCAGGCTGGCCTTAAACACACAGAGACCTGCCTGCCACTGTCTCTTCGGGGCTGGGATTAAAGACATTGCTGCTACTAATACTTTTTCCTCTTCCTCCTCCTCCCTATCCCCCGTTTCCTTCCTTTTACCCCCCTCCTCTGTCCTCTCTGTCGCCATTGGGAGCAACCCCAAGTCTCACATAATCTAGGTAAGCATTCCATGGTGGGACATGCTCCAAGCCCTGTCTGCTCTTTCTTTGAAGAAAGAGCTTAACTTGGAAGTACAATGGTGTTTTACTTCAAACTCATCAGTTTCTTGCTTATACTCTTTCCCACGAGTCCATCATCCTTATTTTGGTTCCCTTGGACTGAGTTCCCTTCCATGCTCACTTCTGACCAGTTTGCTTATTGTATACCTCAATAGAATTGCTAAAATGCTTCCTGTATGTGGAGTTCATGATACTTCTTATACCAATGTATTTATAATTTCCATCAAGTTCAGAATACTTTCAGCACATATATGTACATCTACATACATATATATGTACACACACATACACACATGCTTTTGGAATTGTCCCAAAGATCACTGACGGTTTTGATATCTTTTCTTGTCTTCCTGTATTTCAGTTTGGAGTGCGTCTGCCGACAGAGTCTCTGTGCAGCTAGGCAAATGCTCTGCTGCTGAGTGTCGCCTGGAACACTGTATTGAATACACAGTCACAGCTGTTCCAACTGTCCTGCCATTTTTGTCTGTCTGTCCCAGTCCCTCTTTTTCTTCCCATTACTGATTCCATTTTTCTGCTTCCGGGATCTGGCCCTCTCTAACTAGCTGCCAGACACCGTGAATTTGACCTTTTGAGTGTTGGATATTTTCGTAGCCCTGGACATCCTTGGTGGCTGTCCTGTTAAGCGGTTTATTTGGAAAGCAGTTTGATCCCATTGCAGTTTGCTTTCAGGATTTCTTAGGCAGGTCTTATGCATTGCTCAAGCTCGGGTTACTTATTCTCATTTTCTGAAGCATGATCCTTCTTTCTGTAACGAATGTCTGAATGGCCAGGCTAGCCATTGAGAATATCTGATCAATACTCAGCTGAAGCATGTAGGTGACCTTCCAAAGGACTCTAGTGTTCTGACTCACTCTGTGTTCTTTTGAGACAGGTTTTCTCAGTGTAGCCCTGGCTGTCCTAGAACTCTCTTTGTAGACCAGCCTAGCCTTAAACTCACAGAGATCTACCTGCCTCTGCCTCCCAAGTGCTGGGGTTAAAGGCGTGGATCACCACCGCTCGGCTGCTTTCTGATTCTTGTTAGATGTCTCCTTCCTGGCCTGGTATCTCTGCAAGTATAGCTGCTTTGGATTCCATGACCTCAGCAGCCTCTCCTTAACCCAGGGAGACCACCTGGGTTTCCTTAGAAATGCTGTTAACGCTGAATCTGGGCCTCAGAGAACTCTCTTCATTTGTGTCTCATGGACCGCCGACTCTCGCTTCCTCATGTCTAACGTCTTGCCAACTGCTGTCTCATCGAGGGCTTTCCAGTTTGGGGCAGCATCATTGAGAAGGGGTGTGTGTCTAATCCCTATAACTTGGCCAGAAGTGGTGTTCATCATAAACAGATTGTCATATACAGCCATTCTGTCACCCTTGGGAATCTCATCAGTATTTCAGGGTGGAGGTCTTCTGCCCCCCAAACATCAGAGGCTCTGGGACTCATCTTGTAACCCTTCCACCTTGAAGCTTCCATGTTGTTCATTTGAGTGGAAATTTCATCTAAATTAGGTGGGAGTGGAGAAAACATATGTATAATTTCTGTTCATTGTCACCCCTGGTGACTGCCTTCAGGATGTTTTCCATTTTTAGAGGACCCGACCCACCCACTCAGACTTCGATCCGAGGATCTCAACAACTATGGAACTGACATGGGTGGGTATCACTGTTAGTGTGGTGCCATGGTCACTGAGGCCTATGTACCCTCATGGGGATGTCTCACTAGGTCAAGGGTAGGAAAGACATTGGGAAGATCTACTTCAGTCCTACCTAAGTTTCAGAAGTGCTCATCATTCTAGGACTCTTGCAGCTCTGTTCCACTTGGGTCACCAGCCCATCCTCCAGTCTAAAGGCCTTGTACTTGACCTTGGGAAGATCAGGAAGTAGTCACATACATAAGGCTTGCAGCAGAGTAAGTCAGGGGCCAGCCTGTCTGCCGCCTGCCTTCCTTCCTTCCTTCCTTCCTTCCTTCCTTCCTTCCTTCCTTCCTTCCTTCCTTCCTTCTTTCTTTCTTTCTTTCTATAAAACACATAGGGATTTCATAAAACCACTGTGCTGGTCTCTGCAGGGCAAGGAGCAGGTTCTCATGGTAGGAAGAGGACCCTACTCCACTTGCCAGTGTTGAGTGGGTTCCTCAGGGCCACAATGACTGAGTCCTCTCTCAGTAATATCTGTGCCTATATTTCTTTGCGTTGACTTCTTGAGTTGAGAGGAGGGTGGGCCTTTCTCCATAGCAGGTCCTTGTTGACGTTGGCATGAACTACTTCGGGCCCTTGTCAGTCTTGGGGACCTGGGTCACCATCTCCTCCTTCACATTTTCCAGCACCAGGTTGCATGGCTTGTCAAGGGTTTCACCCGGCCCAGGAGTTTCCTGTTGTGGCTGTTGATGGATGGGCACTTTCATGTTGCTGACCGACTATGTGAGCACACAGAGTGTCCCCGTGCTAAGTGCTCCTCCCCCACTTCCACGGCTCCTCTGGCGTCATCTCATTCTCGGGTCTGTCGAGGAGGCTCTTGAGGGAGGTTTTGCCTGCAGATCATGCCTGCCTGGGGCTTCTTGAGTAGACTGAGAGCTGGGTGGGACTCCAGGTGGCCTTTCTTCCTAGCAGGTTACTGTCCTGGGTATATACTAACCCAAATGCAGTGATCATCCTCTCAGTTCAATGCTTATAGTCAATAAAAGGTGGGGACAGGTAACCTGGCCCCAAACAGGAGTCATGCTTCACTAGCTGTATCATTAAACATTGATATAGATAAGTACATTTTGTTTCCAACTAGACGTCTCATCAAGATAGACGGAGCTGGTGGGTATGAGATGCCTACTTTTTCTTTCCATATAAGAAATGTCTCATGGGGTTATTTGTTTTTTTTTTTTTTTTTGGTTTTTGGTTTTTGGTTTTCCGAGACAGGGTTTCTCTGTGTAGTTTTGCGCCTTTCCTGGAGCTCACTTGGTAGCCCAGGCTGGCCTCGAACTCACAGAGATCTGCCTGGCTCTGCCTCCCAAGTGCTGGGATTAAAGGCGTGCGCCACCACCGCCCGGCTTTGTTTTGTTTTTTAATAGGCATTTTTTTCTCTGTGCTTATTCCATGGGCCTGTGTGGTCCCCTCTTATGTAGGAAAACTGGCCTTTGGGCCAAATTTCCTTTCCCACAACAGTGCAGGCATGCAGGTCAGGAAAAGCCGTGATGGGAAAAACATGGCTCTCAAATAAGGACCCCACTCCCTGCCCCGCCCCCGCCCCTTTTCCATAGACGCTGCCCTGAGTCCCTGTGACTTCAGGTGGAGATCAGCAGAAGACTGAGGTAAAGCAACTCAAAAACTGAGGGGACTGTGACCATCGTAACGTGTAGGGCGTGGCTGGCACCTGGACAGGTGCCGTGTGTCCTCCTCGTCAGAGGACACCCAGAGATGGTCCAGGAGGCTGGTGCCTCTTCCTCCCTGCACTTCTGATCATGTCTGACTGGAAGGACAAATGTGAGACAGTCGTTCTGAGACAGGGAGGAGGGAGCAACATTATATTCCAACCAATCCTGATGCCGAGGAGGCAGGGAGGATCAGGCCAAGGATCAAGGTATGATTTTGGCCCCCAACTGAGGGCATCATGCCTACAGGGGCCAGAGTCGAGGCTCATCTGGAGATCTGGGGGCTTTTAGGTACAGGAGGTTGGCACACTGCACAGAGAAGCCATTAAAGTCAGCAAAGCAGGAGGAGAGTCCTTTGAGGATGATGTCATTCCTTTGCTCAAATGCCACCACACAAAACCCGAAGGTCCTTCTGACAGTCTCTAGGGTCGGCTTCCTGGTGCCCCTTAGGCCTCCCACCTTTTCTCTCTCTACCTCCTACTGTCCTAGTTCTTCTGGTTCCTCACTATCTGTGAATCCACCAGGCATGCCACCCTTCTGGAATGTTCTTTCCTTCTTGTTTACATATGGCTCATTCCCTCATCTTCTTTGTGCCTTTGTTCAAATGCAACTCTCCTACCACGCGACTCGGTCCCTTTATTCTAGCCTATGTACCCCCATATCCCTATGAGGCCATATCACATATAACACGGCATATATTCTCACGCATATTATCCATGGGCTCATAACACAAGGAAGATTTCACAAAGGCAGAGTTTTGTTTTGTTTTCTTGGCCGAGAACTAACTTCGCTCCCCTGCCTAGAATGGTGCCTAACATGTAGCTGATGCTTGAAAAAAACATGTGCCAACTGGGCTAGCCCATGGCAACAGAGCCCTATCATCAGACACAGAACACATAGAGACTCGGTCCCACTCATGGACTTGGGACTGCTGACGTATTAACACTCTTCTGGTCTGACTGGAGCCAACTGTCAGTCCTCCAGACCCAGGAAATCCTAAGGGTCTGCTAGTCCTGGGAATGCTAACTTAATTTAGGGCATAAACATAAACTTGTGGATTTAACTTGATCGAAACAGCACGGGCGATACTGAGAAGCCCATGCCATCCAACAAGGATCCAGTGTCTCGTCCTTTGTATTTCCCAAAGCTTACAGATTTTCTCAGCTGCCCTTCTTTTTCCTTCTGCGAAGGGGGAGCTGGCCTACTTAGGAGCTCCCCATAGGGCTCCAACCAGGTTCCTAGAGGGCAGCTACGATCCCCACAGCTGTAGATCGCTGTTCTGGAACCCTCTGGACCTGAAGAGTGAGTGGAGCATACACATCAGCAGCCACCACAAGGTAACACAGACATATACGCCATGCACACGCAACAGATGCCCATGGGGACAGCCATGAGATGCATGGGGTGGGGCTGGGGGCTAGGGGTCCTCCGTGACATGCACTTGTGAAATCTGACGGCTCTGGACCCTTGGCCGGGTGGAGACAGTGGAGAACAGGAAGAACAAAGGAGTGAGGAGTCAGGATGAGGTCAGAGGCGGAGAGAGGAGACAGGACATGATCAGTAGATGAGCCCCACACCTGACGGGGCTAGATAGCATGTTTCAGGAGACACAAGACATGAGAGAGGAGAGAGAGAGAGAACGGGAGAGGTTTGGCATGCACCGGCCCCACCTGACTGAAGGAGGCCCCTGTGTCCAGCCTAGTCTAGAACTCACCTGCCCCTGGTGGTACTCCCTGCTCCCTGATAGCACCACAAGCTGTGACTCAGGTACTCTTGTGTTCAACGTGTACATGGGCTAGGGACAGCCTTGAAAACTACCAGCTTGGGGAGCCCTGCTGTCCCTGCATAGCTGTCCACAGTGAGGTAGGGACACCACAAGAAGACGCACCCCACAGTTGACAAGAGTTTCAAAGTTAGTAAAGCAGCTTGGAATCTAACCCAATGTCTAAAGACAAGGAGACGTCTCTGCCCTGTGAGCACCAGCAGGCAGGCAGGGCCTAAGGCGCAGGCTTCTGGGCCCCCACCATGGGCTGAGGTAGAAGTGGGGTCCCACTCGTGTCCACCGGCCAGAGAGAGAGGGCATGAAGAGAAAGGCCTTGGGATGCCCAGGCTCTGCTCCTTCATGGCAATGCCTGCCTCCCATTGCCGCTCTGGGCAGAGTGCAGGCCTTAGACACAGCTCAGTGGCAAAGGTCAGGGCCTCCTGGGATGGGTCACACTGGGGCTCCCTGCCATGCTGAACCATCCTGAAGAGTGCTGGGAAACAGATGAGATGGGGAAAAAGGGAGAGAGTATGACAAGAAAGAGAGACCGGGCTCAAGAAGACACCCTTAGTCCCGAGGGTTCACAGTGCGATGTTACACACCATCAACTGATCCCCTGAGACCCTGGGCCAGAGCCTCCCTGTCCCTTGCTTCCTAATCACTGAATATGCTGCAGACAGGGACATGAGAGGACCCATGCCTTGTGAAACAGAAAGCTTGGAGATTCTAGGGCAAGGGCCTAGGTAACTTCTTCCCAGACTCAAATCCTTTCTTGCCATGCCAGGCCCCTCTGGGACCTTGGTTCTGGGGGCTGGTGGTGAGGGCCTGGGTACTGTTCCACATGTGGGCACAGAGGCAGGCAGCCCTGGGGGAGGATGCCCACCTGCACAGGTGGGTGCCAGCTGTCTCTCTCACTTGCCTCTGCTCTCCCTGGTAGGAGGAGTTCATCGCCGACAACCCTCCCAGGAGGGAGAGATGGTTGAGGGGAAATGGAGTGTCATGGGAAGGGGGCCGTTGTTGCTGGTGCTGGAAGGCAGGGCCCCAGCTCAGCTCGGTCTCACGGGACACTCACCATTCATCTGGGAGGGTGACAATGAGTAGTCCCGGTCCCCATGCCGCCGGTCTGGTTTGAGGTTGCGGCTCTGCCTGCCGGAGCCCTCCAGCATGTTAACGATCTCGCTTCTGTCGATGTTCCGCAGGGCTGTGTACAGATTCTCCACTGTTGGGACAGAAGAGAGGAGGTGCTTGAGGATCAAACCCACGCCATTCTAGAGAGCCAGGCTCGCTGTGCAGGCCCAGCAGACCTGGGGCAGGAGGAAGTCTGGGGAAGAGAAACAGTTCCTGTTCGTGGATAACATCTTTTTATACAACAGGTCTACAAAAAACTAAGAGTGGCCCGTTGTGGTTCGGCTTTTGTTTTGTTTTGTTTCTTTCAGTGCTGGGGATGGAGCCCTGCTGTGGGACGTCTTTCTGGATGCTGTGAAGATGTGTTGCTCTGATTGGTTGATAAGTAAAGCTGCACTGGCCTATGGCAGGGAAGGATGGAGCCAGGCGGGACAATCCAAGGGAGATGGGAGAGAAGAGAGGAGAGTGGGGTAGACGTTGCCAGCCGCTGCCAGGAGAAGCAAGATGTAAAAGTACCGGTAAGCCACAAGCCATGTGGCAAAGTACAGATTTATAGAAATGGGTTAATTTATGATGTAAGAGCTAGCTAGTGAGAAGCCTGAGCCATTAGGCCATACAGTTTGAAAATTATATATATATATGCCTCTGTGTGTTTATCTGGGAACAAGCGGGAAGTGGATGGGAGAGATTGGTCCAACTACAGGGCCCCAGCGGGACACAGGAAATCTTCCAACTACAGAGCCCATGGCCTCGTGCATGCTTGGCAAGTGTTCTGGCGCTGCTGAGTACAAGCCAGATGCTTAGTGACCAATGTGAAGTATCTAAAGGTAGGTGTGTGTGTGTGTGTGTGTGTGTGTGTGTGAGTGTGAGAGACAGACAGAGAGAGAGCTGTAATAGCAATGAGAAAATAAGGTGGAAGACTGTCCCTTTGAAGTCCTGGTCCACATCAGAGGATGTAAGAAGCAGATAGAAGCATCCAGCTCCTGCATAGGGCAGGATTTGGAGGAGTTGCTGAAAAACAGAGTGAGACAAGTCTTTCCCAGGCAAGAGGGGGGCGGGGGTTCCTAAGAGAACAAGAGCAGAAGCAGCCCAGGGTAGGCCCACCTGACTGCTCCGAGACCACAGAACTCATTCGGTTGAGAAATTCAATAGGAATTCTTTGAAAACAAGAGTCTTACATCCTGTAACATGTGATTCTCAGGGGTCCAGGGCAATTCCACCCCCCCTCCTCCTGAGAATGGGAAAGGTTGAGGGCAGGAGCCATTGGTAATGTGATCTGGTAGGGTTGCCTAGGAGACCTCAAGACTATAAGAAGTGATGGAGATGGGAAAGCCCAGGCCCGCAGCAGGACTGGACTCTGAAAGAAGGGCTCTGGTGAGGGCAGCTCTCTAGCCAGGCAGTGGGCTGAATGGTACTGACTCTTCGCATTTTCGCCTTCTCGGGCCACCCAGAGGGTCAGCAAGGCTGCGCTCTGCTCCAACAAGGAGTTGGGGTTTTCTACGCGGATCCGGTTGATGTCCTCCACCGTGAACTGCAGCTCCCGGGCCAGCTCTGCAGGCAAAGAACCAAGAGCCAGTATGAGTGCCAAGTTTATCACAGTCCCCATTAAATCCGGGGACCCTTCCCACCAGGAGAGACTTGGTGCGGAACACGTATCTGCCTCCGTGTGTGCCTAGTGAACGGGGCAGGGAAAACAGGCATCAAATGAGTGAGTGATGAGTGAATGGAGACATTTCCTTTCTTCTTTTCCAATTTCACTGGGGAGTGATGAGACAAGCTAGTCCCCAGACTTTGAAGGCGCCATAGCTCAGGTCACCTGCAGCTTTGCACAGGTGGCCACTGGCTGTCCTCCCAGAACTAGAGGATAGGGAGGCAGCCCTGTGCTTACGACAGAACTTCCCTCTGTTGCTTTTACTGTGACTGCTCACAGGTGTTTAGAAGGGGAATACATCAGAGTACTTTATGTATGAGGAAGACTGGTGACTACAGGTCAGAACATGACTATACAACACACCACACACACACACACACACACACAAGCACACAAACATACACCACATATAAGGACACAGGCCATATACTTGTATGCAAATGTGCACATGTCCAGCATACATACACATGTGTTTATATTCATGGACATGTATAGACACAGTATACCTTTCACACACACACACACACACACACACACACACACACACACACACACACCAAGCAGGAATAGAAATAGCCTAAAGAACAGACAGTTCCCAAATTCTGAATTCCTGCCACACAGCTTTTCAGGAAGTTCCCACTGTGGTGTCTGAGTCGTCTAAAGCACTGTGCCGGGTGAGTGCACACAGGACGGTCATCCCCATAAAGATTACAGCAGAGGGTGGTGAGAGAGAACACGTCAGTTTACAGAGCCTGAGGTTACATCAACATGTGGAGCATTTTCCTCTGCCTACCTGCTTCCCTTCAAATCCTGTCTGCCCTGCTGTAGCCAGGAAGTACCATAGGCTCCGCTATAGCCAGAGGCAAAAGGTGCAACATCTGGAGAAGACCTGGCCTTTTCCCCTTCTCCCACAGCAAGCTGCCTCCGAGAAGGTACTGAGTAGCACTGAGAAGGCAGTGGACACCGTCACAAGATATACGTATATACGTACATCACATATATATGTGTGTATGTGTATATATGTATATGTATGTATACACGCACACACATATATCATTTGTCTGTGTGTTTGTGTTTATTTGTTTCATTTTCTGTGTTCTGTCACTAGCTACTAACCTGCTTTATTAAGGTGGATCTTCACAATCCCAGTGATAAAACAAGGTAAATCAGTACACCCAAAGGCAGCTTACAACGTCAAGCGTTGGTGGTGTTAGATATAAAATCTGATGTTTATTTTCAAAGGTGTCTCAAGACAGCTTAGGTCCAGCTCATCTGCAGATGAACAGGAAACACTGGACCCCTGCTAATGCCCGCTAGCCTAGCTATTCCCCACCACACGAACTAGCGGTGGAGAGTAGAAACTTAGTAGTAGCCGAGTCTGCCTGTGAGGCCACGCACCTATTAATCTTTGAAATGCACAGAATTTAAATGTAGAGATGAAACCAGACACAGTTTCTGCTGAGAAACATTCAAACATAAACAACAGTGGGAGAGATATGATTATTACAGAAGGCTCACGGCTTAGGATTTATAAATGCTTTTCTGCGCTCAACCAGCGCTCCTGATGGCCTAGGCTGATGCTCAACTTGGCACGGTCGTAAGATGAAGGGCTGTTTCCCTGGAGTCTCTGCTACTCTTGCTATAAAAGCAAGGATAACTGTTTCTCACAATGCTTCCAGGGGAAGTAGACGAACATGGTGGGGGGTGGGGGGGTGGGGGGGTGGGCAGGAGGCTCACTGCTCTCCACAGTTGCCCAGTGGCACTGTTTATAAAATGGGCCATCACAGACTCAGAGCACAATGGATGATGAAGCTGGACGCACTTCATCCTGGGTCACCCAGGAGGAAGGATCATGGGGTTAGGTAGATCTGTGGTTTTTTTTTTTCCCTCTGTCCAAATTCCATAACTCACCTGCCCAGCTGAGGCCGAGGTGCTCCGTGATGACCGCCATCTTCATATCAACACGGTCTGTGTCACTGGTAAAACCTGGGAAGATGCATTGGATTGCAGTTAGCCGTGGGGGGCAGGTCGCAACACAGATGAGGTGGGTGCCTGGCCCTTACAAAAGGGTGCCCAGGTAAACACAGGCCCTTCAGATCACACTGTCAGGTAGAGACCTAAGGGGAAGGCTTTGCCTGCTGCAGATAAAATAGGATGAGTTGACACCAGGACAGAGTCCTTGACAAGGACATCCTTGACAGATTGCCTTGATGGGAATGTGTCTGCACTCTTATAAGAGCAAGCATATTGGGGTGCTAGGCGAGGGGCTCCTACCCAGCCGGGACTCGCTGAGAATGCTGTATCGAAGGGTCAGGGGCGTCAGCGTCCTCCTCCTGTCTTCCGCTCCACCGCCCTGCAGCAGACAGAGAAAGGTTGCAATGGATTTTGGGCACACTCTGTCTTAGAGAAGCCGATGCAAGCTCTCGTGTTTTGGTGGTCCATGGCCTGGCAGATAAAACACGTGGTAAGAGATGGGAGTGGAAGGAGGTTCGTGGTACGTAAATACTTCATTAATAATATCAAGAATGGCAGACCCAGGTAGCCTTTACTGTGTGAGCTGCTCCATTTTATACTGGGAGCCACCTATGAGGCAAGTAGGTACAACTTCTTCTTTTTTTAAAAAACATTTTTTAAAAGATTTATTTTATTCATTATATATAGTGTTCTGTTTGCATGCATGCTTGCAGGCCAGAAGAAGGCACAAGATCTCATTACAGATGGTTGTGAGTCACCATGTGGTTGCTGGAAATTGAACTCAGGACCTCTGGAAGAACAATCAGTGCTCTTAACCTCTGAGCCATCTCTCCAACCCCTGGGTAAAACTTCTAGTTCACTGGTAGGGAAACTGAGGCACAGAGAGAAACTTGCACAAGATCACCCGGTAGAGACAGATTTTGAATTTAAGCTTGTTTTTTTTCTTTCTGGATTCTCTTCCGCTTGATGACTCATTGCTGACTCACACTGGCCTAAGGTTTAATACTAGGGCCTCTTTGTTCTAGGCACTGGAAACCCCATTTGAGAGAGAAATAGGTTGACCCTCATCCTTAGAAGGAAAAGAGAAATTGAGTCACGTAGCTGAAGGTGACCTGTTTCTCTTCTAGGTGACCACAGAAGGCCAGTGACTCAGAAGCACAATAGCCCTGACTGAAACCTGGAGACATTCTGAAGATGGAGTCGCTCCAAAGGTCCAAGCGACACCATGATGCTCTCACAGGGGTCAAAAAGAAGCCATTGGTCAAGACTCCTTGGCTGAGCGTGGAAACCTGGGTTTTGACAGTGGCAGGCGACACCAGGGTCCCCTTGTTTGAGAGGAAAGACAGGCGAATAAATGGAAACGAGACTTGACGACTTCTGTCGATGAGTAAGTGACCTTGGGCAAGCCCCGCCTCAGCTGTAAGCCTCAGACTCCTCAAGAGCATCGGGGGTCGGGGGTGGGGGGTGGATCTGTCCTCCACATTCTAGGGAGGCTGGCTCCATGTGAACAGTCCTATCAGCACCTGACCCTGACATTGGCTCCTCGCATCACGTAACCAGGCTTTTCGGACGTTCCAGGGCAAGCTTTCTCTGCCTAGCCACAAAGTAAATGTCCATAGCAGAGCAAGAGCCCCGAGGAGCCTGGAAATTGAAGTTGGTGCTTCAGAACACAGGAAGGAGCCCTTTGGACGGATGTGTGTTCTGGGGGCTTCTAGGGGACGTTGGCGGTGGCAGCTCACCTTGGTACAGGGGGGCATGGTGATATTCAAGTGGCAGAGGATGTGCTGGGTGTCCTCGTATTTCATCGCCTTTCGCAGGAACGACAAGAACCCTCCTGGCTCGCGACTGCTGTCCCTCACCTAGATTCAATTACACACAGGGAGCTTTATCAGGGCCCTGGATGCCTCCAGGCTGGTGTCCTCCAGGGGTTCCTGCCTCCCAAACTCTTAGACCAAGAGAACAGGGTGGCCAGAGGAGGCCAGCAACCTTCACAGGGATGGCCAAGCGGTTCTCTCGAAAGGACTGGAAGTGGAAGCTTCGCTGTTGGGTTGCTTTCTTGACAGGCACCAAGTTCCCAGAGAGTTCTGCAAACAGAGGCATCCCTTCCAGAACCTACAGGGAGAGAAAAGCATGCTGAGCTCGTATAGAAACGCCTGTAAGTTTCTGTGATTTCCCCTAACTGCCCCTCACACAGGGGGTGGCTTATGAGAAGCCTCGCTGTTCTTTTAGGGAAAAGTGTCATAAATGGGCCATGCTCCCTTGGTGTAGACTTGTAATGAACATGTTCCCAAGAACTCAGTGGCCTGTCAGGACAGCAGAGCATGGCTCCTGAAAAAAGCCCTGGTCTGTATTCTTAAGTCTATCTGAAGATGCTTCGTTTGTGAGATGTGCTCAAAAGGCGACAAATACTTCTCACATACGAGGATTCCTTCTGTGTGCACAACAGCTTCAACTGAGATGTTCTCATGTTTAGATCTGACAGTTGGGGAAACTGAGTCCTGTAGACAGTAAGTACAATAAGCACTTTGACCAGTGAGTGCTAGGGCAGCATCAGAACCAGGCACGCCTAAGTCTTAGCCCTGTATTTCTGATACCAAACCACTAAGCCAGCTCTCCTGGTTATTTCCTTCCTTCCTTCCTTCCTTCCTTCCT